TGTGAGTAAACTCCCCTCATACCCCTCCCCTTACAGAGTGCTGGAATTCTCCTAAGGATGCATTTTTGTAACCACCCTTCTAACCTCTTGCTCTGCTTGTGTAGATATGCTTTATTGCTCCCTGGGAACAGATGGTGCCTGGTGCCTCCCTGTAACAGCTGAACCCTGTAGCCATAGAATGTCCTATCTTGACAAGATAGCTGGGTTTTGAAAGTTAATTTGTAGCTGGTTGAAGGACATGTTGACCTCTCCCTGAGCTTCTTTGTTTGAGTTACCTATAAAAACTGTGCTCTCCCCTGCTTCTGGGCTTCACTTCTCCTAGAGGGTGGAGTCCATGCATGTGAATAAACTCCTTTCAGTTTTTAACTCTGTCTTTGTCCCGGTGTTTGGTGATTTCCTGGCTCGCTTGGCATAACATTTTTGGAAGCAGCAGTGAGATCACCATCACTTGGTGACTTCTGTCCAGAGGACAGTCCCTGTCTCAGGCTGCTGCAGCCCAAGGTAGGCCTAGGGAAGCCACCCTGACCATTTGATCAGGGCCCTGGGAGCTCGGGCCCTGAGTGGAGGATTCGGGTCATTCCAGCCATCCTGAAGGGAGTTTATCTGGAAAGCCTCTGGAGGTCAGGTAAGAATCTCATGATTCTCAGTCAGTGGATCCTAAATAGGGCAAAAGAGAAGTCAGACACAGTGCTAATTCCCATACCCGAGACTTCACCACAATGGCGGGAAGTCCCCTGGTCAGTTTATCCTTTTGGTATAGAAGGCTATAGTCTGTCTAAATATCTGTGTATCTGTTGTTTGTCATCTGTCGACTTGCTCTGTGTGCCTTTTGCTTTCAGTTTTGTTCTACAGTAAGCCATGGAATCCGGACAATCTACCCCCTCCACACACCCCCCTTGATTGTCTTTTACAAGATTTCTCTCAAATTTATACCTCACAGAAAGCAGATGAATTTGCCATCAAGTTCTCAAAAGGAAAACTCCTGACCCTGTGTCAATTACAGTGGCCATCATTCAGGGTGGGATGGCAGAGTGTAGGAAGTTTTAGGATTCAGACTACCCGACAGGTTTGGAATCAGGTTACAGGAAAGGAAGGGCCCTGTCACCCTGATCAGTTCCCTTATATTGATATTTGGATGGGCTTAGTAGAAGACCCTGACTCCCCTTCTGATTCTGCCCCCACTAATCTCTCTGCCCCAACCACACCATCTGACCCTCATACCCAATCAGGACAAACTTATGAGTTACAAGGGACAACTAGTCAGGTAACATCCACAGTCTTTCCTTTAAAACAGGTCTAGCCAGGTGATGGATTCGTGTATGTTCCCTTTACTACTAGTGACCTTTATAATTGGAAAAATCAAGTTCCCCCTTTTTCAGAGAAACCCCAGGCCTTGATTCACCTCCTAGAATCTGTTTTCCATATTCATCAGCCTACCTGGGATGACTGCCAGCAGCTGCTCCACACCCTCTTCACTATGGAAGAGCAGGACCAGATTTTCCAAGAGGCTGTTAAGGTGGCCCTGGGACCAAACCCAGACCTCAGTCCTGGCACTCTGGCTTATCTGCAGCAAGCAGAGGCTGAGGTGCTGACCCACCGACTGGACTGGGACCCCAACACTGATGCAGGTAGGAGAGACCTGGCCAGTTACTGCCAGCACCTTTACAGGGACTCTGCCAAGTGGCTAGGAAGCTGACTAACTTGACCAAGGTGAGTGAGGTAAAACAGGATAAGACGGAGTCCCCCGTGGCTTTCCTGGAGTGCCTTTTAGAGGTGTATTGGGTCTATACACCTATTAATACTGATGCTTCAGAAAACGCAGCCCTGATAAATCTGGGTTTTGTGTCTCAGTCAGCCCCAGATATTAGAAAGAAACTTCAGAGATTGGAAGGATTTGAGGGAAAGAACAGGTCCAAGCTCCTGAGTATAGCACAAAAGATTTTTGACAACCAGGACTCCCTGGAAGAGGCAGTCACCAAGCAGCTAGGAAAAGTTACTGTTGCTGCTCTCAAAAACTATGAGACAAGTAAACAGACTGGGAGACCTAAGCTGGAGAGACCCCCATGGCCTAAGCTTGGAAGGGACTAATGTGCCTATTGCAAACAGACTGGACATTGGAAAAATGAGTGCCCCCTCAAGAAGAAAAAAGAGGGACAGAACCAGAAAAAGACACAGGAGGTACTGACCTCTGAAGATATGGAATAGGAAAGTCAGGGCTCATTCAAATTGAGTCCATGGTAAAATTAAAAATCGAGGACACACCAACCAACTTCCTGGTAGATACCAGGGTGGCCCATTAAGTACTGACTAAACCTTTGGGAAAATTGACAACATGAGAGACTTTGGTGCAGGGGGCTACTGGCAAGGGCACTCAAGGTTTTAAATGGACAACTGCACAAATGGTAGACTTGGGTCACAAGTAAGTGACCCACTCCTTTCTGGTGATTCCAGAGTGTCCATACCCCTTGCTTGGTAGGGACCTGCTAAGAAAATTGGGTGCAACAATTACCTTTACAGAGGAAAAGGCAGACCTAAAACTAGGCATCCCACAGGGGACTGTCAAAGTTTTGGTGACTTGTACATTGGCTTCTGAATACCTGGTGCTCTCGGAGCCAGAGGACAAGTCAGCTGGGCTGATTGGTGGTCTACAAATGGAGTTTCCACTTGTGTGGGCTGAAACTAATCCCCCTGGGTTAGCAAGCCATCAAGTTCCTATAGTGGTCAGTTAAAACTCAATGACCAGCCCATTTCTGTCCAACAGTATCCCATCAAAAAGGAGGCAAGAAAAAAGATTCAAACACACATCAACCAACTCCTAGATGCTAGAATCTTAAAGCTAAGCCAATTGCCTCAGAACACCCCACTCCTGCCTGTCCAAAAGCCTGGTACTTCCAACTACAGGCCTGTCCAAGACTTCCAAGAGCCCCAGATCAAGTTCACAGAAGCCACTACCTTAAACCCCATGACCTTGCTGCCAACCTCAGACCCAATGACTATGGTACATGACTGCCAGGAGACCCTCCAGGACATAACCATGACCAGACCTGATTTGTGGGATGTGCCCCTAAAGGACCCTGAGGAGACATTCTTCACAGATGGAAGCAGCTTTGTCAAACAAGGAGTCAGGCATGAGGGGGCAGCGGTGGTAGATGGCCAGGGAGTGACAAGGTGGGCCACTGCCCTGGGACTTGGAACTTCAGCCCAATGAGCAGAGCTGATAGCTCTTGCTCAGGCCTTAAACCTGAGTGAAGGAAAGGTTGTTAATATCTACATGGACAGTCTGTATGCCTTTGCAATGTTACATGTTCATGGAGAAATATATAAACAATGGGGCCTGCTCACATCAGGAGGAAAAGACATAAAAAATAAACATGAGATCCTAGCTTTACTAGAAGCTGTATGGAAGCCTAGATCAGTGGCTATAATTCACTGCAAGGGACATCAGAGGTCTGACACACTGGAGGCTATAGGAAATCAAAAGGCTGATCTAGCTGCTAAACTGGCTGCCAGAAAACCAGTGGGGATGGCCCCCACTCTACTCCTTAAAGGTTTTCCCAACCTGCTGACTAAGCCACATTACTCATCAGAGGAAGAGAAACAAAATGCCAGGGTGGGAGCTATACAAGGTAAAAATGGATGGTGGAGTCATCCCAATGGCCAAGTTTGCTTGCCTCAGGCTCTTGGCCAACAGCTAATTCAACAAATACATCAGTTTACTCACCTAGGAGAAAAGAAACTCAGACAATTGATAAGTTCCAGGTTCTTAACTCCTAAGCTGGCTGCCATGGTCCAGGATGTTTGTGCTTGGTGCCAGACATGAACCCAGGTAAATGCCAAGACAACACCCAGAGACAAGGGAACCCGATGCCCAGGTGAGCACCCTGGGGAATTTTGGGAATTGGATTTTACTGTAGTCAAGCCCAGCCACGGATATAGATACCTGCTGGTTTGGGTAGATACTTACTCTGGATGGGTAGAAGCCTTCCCTACTAAAGGAGAGACAGCTACAATAATCAGTAAAAAGTTGTTATAGGAGCTCATCCCCTGATTTGGCCTCCCCCATACTCTGGGGTCCAACAATGGCCTGGCCTTCACTGCCAAGGTATTCCATTTGGTGGCCAAGGCCCTCAACATTGATTAGAAACTTCATTGTGCCTATCGGCCACAAAGTTCAGGGCAAGTGAAAAGGATGAATTGTACCTTAAAAGAGACATTAACTAAGTTAGTTTTGGAAACAGGAGGAAGCTCACCAGACCTCCTCCCACTGGCCCTCTTGCGAGCTAGGTGCACTCCTTATATAGAAAAATTAACTCCTTATGAAATCATGTTCAGGAGGCCACCTCCCTTACTGCCCAGGGCAAATTTGAAAACTGTATCATAATGTAAAAATCATACTTTGTTAAATTCTTTAAAGGCCCTCCAGGTAATCTAGCTCAGGAGGCCAGGCTGGCCCCTCAACCTGATGTCACCTGCCATAAATTTCAGCCTGGAGATCTGGTGCTGGTAAAGAGACATTCATCTAAGGCTCTGGAGCCACACTGGGAAGGGCCTTTCCAGGTGATCTTGATGATGCCATCTGCCATAAAGGTCATGGGAAAGACACTGTGGATACATCACTGCTACATCAAAGTGGCTCCTGAGGACACCCGGGAAGACAAATGGAGGATCACCAGTCAACCAGATGACATAAAGCTAAGACTGGGACGGGTTGGAAATACTTCCCCTTCTTGTTAATACTGAAATATGTGTAGGGACAACAGCTGGGACAACCACCCCAGTGGGAGAAGTGGCAGCTCCAGGAAACTGACATGGGACACATATATAGACAGACAAAGTTTGGGCCAGACCAAAATGATCTAAAGTTTAAAATTGTTTCTTTATGCCAACTGTTCTATTCCTGCCTGAATCCCTTAAGTACAGACTGCTCAAATGTAATGTGGCACTTGGTAAATACTCCAGCAATCTGGCTGTCTCAGTCGTTAAGCCTTTACAATTTTATGCTTGCAATTCAGATGGCCATTCAAAGTGTCAGGAAAGCCCCCCTTACTGTGCTGAGTGGGGTTGTGAGTCAGTTTCAGCTTTAAAAAAATGACAATAAATAGATAGACATTAGCCCTGAGGCCCAAGAGATAAAAAGAAAAACTGATGGATTATTTTGTTGGAAATAATGTCATTTGCTATATTGACCTGTAATTCAACATTTATTATGATCATTATTATTAAGTCATTATTTTCTGGAACATTGGCAATATTACCCCAAAAACAATTGAACCTTGCTGGTAATGTTTGGATTCAGCTGGCACATCACTTAATTTGTCTGAGTTCTGTTTAAATGTAGACATAAATTTACATTATGTATTAGGGAGTTGTCTCGTCCTGGTGTGCACTCCCTTGAGTTTGATACAACCCTATACCCTGTTAAAGACATCCCAGGAAAAAATCTTAAGTATAAAGATAGTTACAATTGGGGGACTCCCTCTTATTCTAAACCAAAAAAAAATGCTATTAAGTTATATACACCTTGGATGATTATGTTAAACAATACACAATGTCTAAGATTAAAAAGGTTAGGAAAAATGACCTGGTATGAGAAACAAAAAATCATATATAGTGATGGTCATGTACCTTTACCATCAGGATGGTTTTATACATGTAAAAGAGTAACATTTAATTATATCCCTGCCTACTTGTCTGAGACTCAGTGCTGCCTGAGTCGCTTGGCCATAATGTTGCCAGACCAAACTGATTTGATAGTGCCAAAAAAATTAAATGTTGGTCACCCTATACTGAACCAGGATGTGATGATGATGTAGGTCTCTTAACAGATGCTCAAGTGATACCTATGATAGCATCTGTGCTTGCTCAGCCTGCCACAGGAATTCATGCAGAAAAGGCAGTGTGAAAATTGGAATGCAAGGTGGTCAAAGGTCTAAATGCTACCTCATCTGCCTTGGCATTAATTAATCAGGAACTACAAGAGCACCAACAGGCTATACTAGACAACAGGGCAGCAATAGCTTACTTGCTCTTGTTCTAGTTACATCATCAAGGAAGTAAAAGAATAAAAAATATGTGTGCTTTTAATATGACTGACAATAGCTAAGGAATTCAAGAAAAAATAAAACAATTTTTTAAATTGACAGAAAAAATACATAATAAAAAATTAGGATGGGATTTGTTTCAATGGTTAACTCAATGGTTGCCTAATATGCAATGGTTAAAACAGCTTTTTCTTGTAGTCATAATTGTCATATGTTTGTTGTTATCATGTTGCATCATACAATGCCTACTTCACTGTATGAGATGCTCTCAGCAGTTCATAGATTATTAAATTTGACTATTATGTTGCTGAATAAAATGTATAAACGCTTGCCTGAAAAAATATATGACAGAGCCCAGGCTCCTAGGGCAGAGAAGCTCAGCTGGTCCCAGAACCCAGAAGGAAGCTCCCTGCCTCCATCCCAGGCTCCTGGGGAAGAGAAGGTGAGCCGGTCCCAGCACCCAGAAGGAAGCTCCCCCACCCCCATCCCAAGCTGCTAGGGCAGAGAAACTGAGCCAGTCCCAGCACCTTGAAGGAAGCTCCCACACCACCATCCCAAGCTGCTAGGGCAGAGAAGCTGAGCCAGTC